ACGTAAAGAAAGGTTTTATTTCAGAATCTAAGTCGCCACAGGCCAGCAGTTTCTTCTTTGTAGGAAAGAAAAGTGGAGATCTCCGACCCTGTCAAGATTATCGGTACATCAACGATTGGACAATCAAGAATGCTTACCCACTGCCACTTCCCTTATCCCTCGTCGCACAGTTACATGGAGCAAAGTACTTTACCAAGATGGATGTCCGATCTGGTTATAACAACATCCGCATTCACCCTGATGATAGATGGAAAGCCGCATTCACTACCGAATTCGGACTCTACGAACCGAATGTCATGTTCTTCGGACTTTGCAACTCCCCGGCCACATTCCAAGCCTATATGAATCGTACGTTCCAACAAGAGATTAATGAAGGATGGCTGGTGATCTATATGGATGACATCCTCATCTTTTCGGACAACCTTGATGAACACCACGCTCGTACCCGTTGTATTCTTACGAAGATTCGTGAAGAACGACTCTTCCTGAAACCGGAGAAATGTACCTTCGATGCGCAAGAAGTCGAATATCTTGGTATGATTATTCGCCCAGGCTGCGTCGCCATGGATATTGCCAAAACAGATGGAATCCGCGATTGGCCGACCCCAACCACCATCAAAGAAACCAGATCGTTCCTGGGATTCTGCAATTTCTACCGAAACTTCATTCCCCATTATTCCGATATCGCACAACCTCTCATCGATCTTACGAAGAAAGATAATGCGTTTCTTTGGTCCACACCTTGTCAAGACGCATTCACGACACTTAAGGAGTGTTTCCTGAAGCAACCAGTCCTCTGTAACCCTGATCCATCACGACAATTTGCGGTAGCAACTGATGCATCCCTTGTTGCAACCGGTGCTGTCTTATTGCAGACTGATGAAAACAGCGTATATCACCCCTGTGGATATCTATCCCAATCTCTGAACCTGGCAGAACACAATTATCAGATCTTCGATCGGGAACTCCTTGCTGTTATTCGCGCACTCCAAGAATGGCGTCATTATTTGGAAGGAAATCCTCATCCGGTTATTGTATTCACCAATCATAAGAACCTCCTCTATTTTCACACCGCGCAGAAGTCAACCCGTCGTCAGGCTAGATGGCAGCTCCTTCTTTCATGTTACGATATTGAACTCCATCACGTACCAGGAACCAAACTCGCCGCACCTGATGCCTTATCTCGACGACCTGATCATGCGCCAGAAACTGCCAATAATGAAGACATGACGCTCCTCCCTGACTCCATGTTTGTCTGCCTTCTTGATCAGGAACTCATGACCACCCTTGCAAACCCTGACCCTGATGACACTGACCCCATTTTCCAAGCCGCCTCTGATGCTTTGAACGGCCTTTGTCTCCCCCCTATGAAATCGGCTCTTTCTGACTGGATGATTAAGAATGATGTTTTATTCTATAAAGACCGTGCCTACGTCCGACCGGCCGGACGCCACTCTATTTTAGAACGAACCCATGACCACGCCACAGCAGGGCATCCTGGTCACTTTAAAACCGAAGAATTGGTTAAACGCGATTTCTGGTGGCCATCAATGGGAACTTATATCCGAAAATACGTTGAGGGTTGCGCCCTTTGTCAGCAAATGAAGTCTGATACCCACCCTACGACTCCTCTGCTGGTTCCTATTCCTTCTTCAGTCTCAACTCCATTTTCCCAAGTCTCCGTCGACCTCATCACTGATTTACCACCTTGCAATGGCTTCGATTCTATCATGGTTGTGGTAGACCATGGTCTTACGAAGGGGGTAATTCTCATCCCTTGTACGAAAACCATCACCTCTGAAGGCATAGCAAAGAAGTTTTTCAAATACGTCTATCGTCGCTTTGGACTCCATGAGAAGGTGATCTCCGATCAAGGACCACAATTTGTATCCAAATTCTCTAAAGCCCTTGCCAAGCTCTTGAAATACGACATTGCCGCCTCCTACCGCTTATCATCCACAGACAGACGGTCAAACCGAACATCTAAATCAAGAACTGGAAACCTATCTCCGAATCTATTGCCGCAATAACCCAGAAGAATGGGTTGAACATATCCCCATGTCTGAATTCATCCACAACCACCACAAACACGACTCTCGCAATGCATCCCCATTCTTCCTTATGATGGGATACGAGCCACGGGCTCTCCCTCATGTACTCCCAGATTCTACCGTCCCAGCCGCAGAAGAACGACTCCGCCTCCTTCAGAAGATACGCGAAGAAGCTATTTCTTGTCATAACCTGGCAATGCAACGAATGGCCGCACGATCGTACGGGAAGAAATACCAACCATGGAAAGTTGGAGATAAAGTTTGGTTATCGGGAAAGAATCTTATCATGCAGTTACCATCACGAAAACTTGCCCCGAAACGATATGGACCCTTTACCGTGAAAGCCATACTATCCCCTATCACATTCACACTCCAGCTCCCAGAACAATGGAAGGTTCACCCCACGTTCCATGCTTCCGAGCTATCATCCTATCACGAAACCGAAATCCACGGTCCTAATTTCCCTGATCCTCCACCCGATATCATCGATAACGAAGAAGAATACGAAGTCGAAGCAATCTTATCGCACAAAGGCACGGGTAAATGAAGACGCTATCTTGTATCCTGGAAAGGATATTCTTCCGCCAGCAACGAATGGATTCCCACGGAAAACCTCAGCAACGCTTCTGCAATTCTTGCTGCTTATAAGAAAGCTCACCAGTTATAAGAATTGTCACAAGAGATGTCTTTCTCAGAACTTCGCACTCTTCAAATCTGTCTTCTGCAACTCCAAACTCTCGTCAAAACCATTGATAACATGTCCGCAAGTCTCGCTGCTTCTCCATCCACAATGTCCGTTACATTGACTGAAACCACCGAATCCCCAAACTACTTCACCATTCTCGACGACATCGAGACTAACACGCTATTCGAATCCACTCTCCTTTCTGAACAATACGCTATCGAGATAGACCGCCTCCTTGCTGAACGAGGAGCTCTCTCTAGCACGCTCCTCATTAACATCATTCGCGCCGCCAATCTTGTCAAACATACCGCAGGACTTCTTAATGACGAACATCTTGAAACCATTTTCCGTCACCTTCACATACGTATTCGCAACACTGCAATACGCCTCTTGCCTACCTCTACCAAAGAAGTTGTTAGAGAAGCCATCCATATCGTCACTGAACGAATTGCAACAAACCCAATCGCTAGACCACCATCCCCACACGTCACAATCCCCGTTCCACCTCCAGTTGAGATTCCAACTCCCATTGAGCATACATCTAATATTATCACTCCTCCTGTTGTACCGATCGTACCAATTGCTTTCACGTCTGCCCCGGCGGCAACAACCCCTCGTATACGTCCCACCTGTCGACGACCCTCCAAGCGAGAGATCTCCGTCTCCCCTCCTTCTCACAACTGCACTTTACATTCCAAGACACCATCCCCGCCTCCGCAATCATCCTCCATCACCATCGTAAAAGCCGAACCCCACGATAACTTTATGTGTCACAACTGTAACGAAATCGGTCATCGTCACAAGAACTGCCCTACGTACTTCTGTCGTGTATGTCATAATCTCGCGCCAGGACACCTTTCCATCTTTTGCAAAGACCTCAAAGGAGAAAAGCCTATCCCATTAGTGTGGACGGACGCAGGTTTCTATGAGGCTCTCTCTAGATGGGAGGCTGATAAAGACGCCGCTATGGAACAAATCTCGATCGAAGAAGACGAGAGACTGTTCGTTCAATGTGCTGGAGATCGTGACAACTATGACGCTTACGATAATTTTGACTGTTGAAATTGGTGATTTCAACGATAGTAATGGGGTAATGTTACAATCAAGTACGCCCCTATTCATTCTCCTTTTCTTACCTTGTATTACATCACGATCGCTATCGTACTTTCTCTTATCACCAGTTGTATTACACCACGATCGCATCATGCCGTTGCTAGGTGATCTATTCTTGTTATCTCTGACTCGTCTTATCTCTGACTCGTCCTTATGACCTCATCGTACCGGCCCTAAAGCTGTTACCGTTCACTATATAAACTCGTCCTGTACTATGTAGTTCTTTACTTTAATCTTACAAGGTTTTACCTGGAACTTCCTTCGCTTAAGACCTCCAATCTTACGTTGTCTGAAACTTGATTCAAGCCAAGGACACTCTCCTTGTCTTGTCATAGTGAACTACTGAACTTCGGTATGCGCCGAAGCCTTGAACCGACCTTGACCGATTACTCTTATCGAGTAGCCATACATCAGAACCATCCTAGTTCGTAACAGCAATGTCATCTGATTTGTACAAATAGTAACAATGACATAGTGAGGCTACTATCCCTTCCACTGCAATTGGCACCTCACAGAAGTCAGCACTTTTGGAAAACTCATATTTCTGGCTACTTCAACACAAAATTCTTTCTGTAGATATCATTCTCTCTCTAATACAACTCATTACGAGGTTGAACGACCATGATTGAAGCAGAATTGGGTGAGATAATTGAAAGTGCCGAAGTCACACAGAAATGTCACCTGCCGATATGTGCCATGATGGAGTTTCAAACTGCACACACCCACTTTGGAAGTGCTGACCGGTGCAGTGCTGCTGGTCATGGGGCTGGTCCAAGTGTAGCAGCAAGATTTTGAGTGATACTGTAAAGCGCACACCTAATCAACCAAGTAGACATTCAATTTTGAATGCGCACATTTTTACTATAGACATCACGCACACTTCTCACTAATCATCAAAATACGCAGGGCTTATGAAAGGAATAGACGAAGGAAGATGCACGAAGAAGACAAGGTGGGCGCGAACCTGCGCGACCATTGTACCATTTCACCTCTTATGATTTTCTCTTGCGCATTTACTTATATTCATGAAATTCTCTTATGATATTTAGGCCCAGTGGACTTGGACTCAGGAGGTGGACATGGACATGCAACGTGACACGAGGATGGCATGGACTATTCTACAGGTGCATTGGCATCAACAAGAGACAAAGCTATTCTAAAGGCGCTTTGGCACCAGGACCACAGGATAGACTAGTTCAGGAAGGTGAGCTCATCATCCAAACACCCCAGCTCAGTAGACATGGTATAGGTCTGGTTAGACAACACAATAAGGCGACTCTGCGGACTGCGCCCGCTTTGGTGCATCGAGCGGATAATGTTCTTGAGATGTTCATTCTCAGCCCTGAGGTGCTCTACCTCACTCTCAACCTCATCAGTGCCATTGGTAGGAACACTAGGCACACTTCCCTTACCCTTACCCTTACCCTTGTCAGCCTTAACCGCGCAGGAAGGCAAGGCCTTGATAGCGCGAATGGGCACCTCCTTCTTCTCGACCTCAGACTCTCCAAACCCAGACATCAATCTCCTTCAAGAAAGCCCTATAGGCGCGTTTACCTTCCTCCAATATCTTCCTCCCAATATCGTCGAATTATTTGAGCTCTATCTTCAAACATGCCGCTATTGTGGCAGCTTCCACGATTTGCACCTGCAGGAAAGCTGCTTAGCACTCAGGTAGACCCAAGAAGGCTACTCACAGACAGCTGACTCCAACCACACATCCATGACTCTCTACCCTCAAACAACTCAGGACCATCACCAGGAATGATCTTGACCTGGGTGTCCAATGCCTGCAATAGTGCGACCCAAGAACGGAGTACCTTTTGCTGCTCAGTCTCTGGTACCTCTTGGACTGGTGTGCCGGCTTCCTTGGCTGGGGAGACAGGGCACATATCAGGCTCAGGAGTAGGAGAAAGGGCAAGCAAAGAAGAGCTGAAAGGTGCCATCTTGTTGAGAGGCAGATCACTGATGAGATGGATAAGACAGAAGAAGAGAAGCTCGACACATTTTTCATCAATTCAACCACTCTTCCAAATTTGGTCAAACTCCTGTGATCACGTGATTTTTGCGTCCACAACTTTTTCCAAGTCCATTCGTGCTACAACGGACTGACTGGGGACAATCAGTAGCCAAGTCCCCGGGAGATGTAGAGACTCATGTTTCTGCAGGCTGTTATGGGCCTAATTCACACCTTTTCATGATGCACTCAATATCCTTGCAACGTGCACTTTGGCGTGTACCAGCGTGTTTGGACATCTTATGGTGCACTCTGTCACATTTCCTTAGGATCCATTGCCTGTCCTCCACATGTCCTGTCCTAGTCCTCCAAGGTCCATTGGTGCGTTTTCCCTTCATCAGAACTCATACTCTGTCACACAGGCACTTGTACTTATCATTGTATTTCATCATGGACCCTGACTTACCTCATCACTTACCTTAGTACTCCCTACTCAGTTCCAAGCCCTGGGAACTCGCTTAGCCTACTTACACATCGCCATGTTTGTTTTCTATCACTTACTTCTGTTCCACTACCATCCAAGTGTATAGCCCAAGTTTCTATCTGAATACACCTGTTTCCCTCCAATTGGCGCTTTGACACCCTTAAGCATCTATTTCCACGTCTATCAGTGTCCTGATTCCCCCATTGATTGTCACCTCTACTCAAAGCACTCCGTTGTGATTGCACGAAGTGCACTTTGACATTAAAGGGCGCTTTTCCACACTTTCCACCTTATTAGCGCATTTAGGCGCCTTTAGTCAGCGCTCTTTGCTTTTGGGTGCATTATTTGCATCAGTGTCCCACTCAGGCCTCAAGACCGAACCACTGGTTATAGATCCCCCTCACCTTTCACTAGAGGAATCTTTCTCAGTAGCAATACCCTTGGGACAACTTTCCACTCGTACCCAGAGGAGCACTTGAGAGCCCACTTCCCACTCTTCCCCCTAGCACGCAGCTATCATTCCTCACCCTCAGCGGTATACCGATGGTACACCCGATGCAAGATACTGATGTAAAATACCAATGTGAGATACTGATGTGAGATACTGATGCGAGATGAGAAGTCCGATGCCGAGGGAGCGGCAGGTAAGGCTAGGCCGAGGTAAGGAGAGTCTAGGTATAACTAGGTATGATGAGGTAAAACTAGGTATAGGTTATTGAGGCAAGACTACCGGTGTCATGCATGGTATGTGATCCATACCATGACATATACACAACAGCAGTGACAGGGAAGGTAGAAGACACCTGACTGATTCCTATCACCAAGTTACCTTATCATTTTTCATTCATTTCTTAGCTAGTATTTTCACTTTCAAACTTCACTCCTATTTTTTTCTATGTATTTCTATTTTGTTCCATGAGATTCTATCTCTTTCTGTTTTTCTAGGCACATTTAGCCACCAGACTTTTCCTTAAGCCACCAAACATGTTAGTAATCATGTCATGTGACTGGGAAATACTCTGATTTGTAAGGATTCAACTTGACTCATCATGTTTGGTCATGATTCATCATGCTTTGTAAAACTTGCAACTGTATTTGTAATCCACTTTGTCATAAGGCTGATTCAGCACACCTAAGGACTTGGTTTGTAAGCACATTCTTACCAATCCATGTGATGACTCATGCTTTTCATTTTTCATTCTTTGCAATACTACACTTTATTTTGTATGTACATTAGTAAACAAGCTGACTCAACACAAGTTTGTAAGCACATTCTTACCAATCTATGTGATGAATCATGCTTAGTAAGATGGCCTCCCAAAAGGTATACAAGGAGCCCATTTTCACCCATGCAATTTAAGCTTCTCACTTTAACTCTTTTCTCAAACCATGTGAGAACCAGTAAGATCTAAGTGCAGGCCATTCAGCAGCCTTGAAGTTAAGGATAAGAAACATATATTCAGGTTATATACTACCTTACAGGGGTTGACTATATAACAAAGTACAGCTACCTAGTTAAAGCTCATCAGCACTACTTTCCTCTCTCTTTTTCAGGAAGGGAGACACGAATCACGAGACACACTTCATGAATCCATGGGCACACACTTGCCAAAACATGTACAAACTTCACACTCAGTATTTCGAGACCACGAGGTTTAAACTAACCAAGGAACAAGAAGGAGAATATTGAAAGACATTCCTCCCAAGAACTCAGCACATTATCTACCACGAAAACTAGAAAAGTCATAGACTGTGTACTTAAGGACTGGCAAGAAGTCTTATCCTGTATAGTTGTGTTGTCACTATATACGCGTCATATATAAGACCCTTAAGTAACAAGACAACGGGTGCTCGCGTGGTTTGTGCTTGTGTCGCTTATTTCCGTTGTTTCACGTAGGTTGCGTATGTCACTAAAGGCCACATGGGAACGCTTAGCTCACTTAAACCTCTTTTTGGTAACTCATGTGGCTGTCACGTGTTTTCAAGTGCCGACTCAATACCATTGCCCGTTTGAGTGCAGGACATGTCAATAAATAATTAATGAAAATGAGAGAACAGGGGAATGGGGTAACGGGCCAAAAGTGCTCACTCCGCTCACACCTTTGGCCCGTTACCCCATTCCCCTGTTCTCTCATTTTCATTAATTATTTACTAGGATGCAGCCAAGGCCAGGAAGCCAAAAAGGAGTGCGAAGCGCTCCATTTGTTACGAACTAGGATAGTTCCGACAGTAGCTACTCAACAAGAGTATTCGGCTAAGGTCAAGTCAAGACTCTTGCGTATACAAGAGTTCGTAAGACAAGGCAAGGAGAGTGTCCTTGACTTGAATCAGTTTCAGACGACTTAAGATTGGAGATCTTAAGCAAAGGAAGTTCCAGGTAAAACCTAGTAAGATTAAAGTAAAGAAAATACAATGTACAGAACGGGTTTATATAGTGAACGGTAACTGCTTTAGGGCAGGTATCAATGAATCAGAATGAGTCAGAGATAAGAGACGAGTCATCTAGCGACGGCTTGATAGCGATCGTGATGTAATACAACGAGTCAGAGATAAGATGATAAGAGATAAGTCTAGTGATGGCTTGATAGCGATCGTGACGTAATACAATGTAAAGAAGAGAAAATGAATAGGGGTGTACTTAGACTGTAACATTACCCTGTTTTTACTGTTGAAGTCACCGATTTCAACAATCCAAGTTATAGTAAGCGTCATAGTTGTCGTTGTCTCCCGCACATTGGGAGAAGAGCTTCTCATCTTCTTCGACGGATATCTGCTCTGTTTCAGCGTCTTTATCAGCTTCCCACCTAGAGAGGGCCTCGTAAAATCCCGCGTCTGTCCAGACTAGGGGTATCACCGGTTCTCCTTTGAGGTCTTTACAAAAGACCGATAAGTGTCCTGGCGCTAAGTTGCGACATACTCAACAATAGTATGTGGGACAGTTCTTGTGACGATGGCCCATAAGACCACAATGACGACAAAGGAAATTGTCGGCGAGTTCAGTTTTCACGATGGTGACAGAGGAAGATGGTGGTGGTGGGGACGGGGTTTTGGAGCAGAAAGCTTGGTTTCGGTTGGTAGGAGATACGGAATGTTCTTGCTTGACCTTGGAAGGTCGACAGGTAGGGTATCTATGGCACATGATTGTTGTTGGGGTAGGTGTAATAGGAGCTGGTATGACAGGTACAGCAGGAGGAACAAGAATGCTAGTTGTATGCTCAACGGGAGTTGGTGCCTCGACTGGAGGTGGAATGGGAATTGCAATATGGGGGGATGGGGGTCTGGCGATTGGGTGTAGTGCAATTCGTTCAGTGACGACATGAATAGCCTCTCAAATAATCTCTTTAGTAGTAGCAGGCATGAGACGCACTGCAGTATTGCGAATACGTATGTGAAGGTGATGGAAGATAGTCTGATGACGGGGGTCATTGATAAGTCCAGCGGTGTGACCGACGAGATTAGTGGCACGGATAATGTTAATGAGAAGTGCGCTAGATAGAGCTCCTCGTTCAGCGAGAAGGCGGTCTATATCGATGGCGTATTGTTCAGAGGTGAGGGCAGACTCAAACAGGGTATTGGTTTCTATATCGTCAAGGATATCAAAATAGTTGGAGTTAACCGATTCGTCGGTTAATGTGGTAGCAGAGAATGTCGGGGAAAGTACTGGGGAAGAAAGGTTTTGAGAGGCAGTGGTCATAGCAGCAGAGAGTTCTTGGATGCGTAAGAGAAGGAGTTGAAGTCATTTGATTGAAGAAGGCATGATTTCGATGAGGTTCTTATAATCGGTGGGTTTTCTTATAAGTGGCGAGGATAGTTGAGGCGTTGCCTAGGTTCTCTTCTGGGATCCATTCGTTGCTAGCAGAAGCATACCCTTTCCAAGATACGAGATAGTGTCTTCGTTTACCCGTGCCTTTGTGCGATAGGATCACTTCAACTTCGGATTCTTCTTCGTTATCTATGATGTCAGGTGGTGGATCGTGGAAATTCGGACCGTGGATTTCAGTTTCGTGATAGGATGATAGTTTGGAAGCATGGAACGTGGGGTGAACTTTCCATTGTGCTGGGAGTTGGAGTGTGAACGTGATAGGGGAGAGTACGGCTTTCACGGTAAAAGGTCCGTATCGTTTTGGGGCAAGTTTTCATGAAGGTAATTGCGTAATGAGGTTCTTTCCTGATAACCAAACCTTATCTCCAACTTTCCATGGTTGGTATTTCTTTCTGTATGATTGTGCGGCCATTTGCTGCATTGCGAGATTATGACAAGAGATAGCTTCTTTGCGTATCTTCTGAAGAAGGTGGAGCCTTTCTTCTGCGGCTGGGACGGTGGAGTTGGGGAGTACATGAGGGAGAGCCCGTGGCTCGTATCCCATCATAAGGAAGAATGGGGATGCGTTGCGAGAGTCGTGTTTGCAGTGGTTGTGGACGAATTCAGACATAGGAAGATGTTCAACCCATTCTTCTGGGTTATTATGGCAATAGATTCGGAGGTAGGTTTCTAGTTCTTGATTTAGACGTTCGGTCTGGCTGTCC